TCTCTCTCTCTCTCTCTCTCTCTCTCTCTCTCTCTCTCTCCTTGAGGGAGAGAAGTTGTAAACCCGAACATAAGTATGATTTATTTTTATCTCGTGCTTAGTGGCACAAACTGCTTGACAGAACTTTTTCTTTGGTGCCAAAGCTGGTAGCTCACCTTTCCTCTTCCCTTGTGTCGAATAATAACACCGACAAATGAAGTCAGAGGCCAGGTCCCCGGGAGGAACGTGCTCTTTCTGGCTCTGTGGCTGTCCCCCTGCGCCAGGGTTTGCAGGCTGGTCATACCTAAGGACACCCAGCCTTGCCATGGCAGCCTGGGTGCACGCCTAGCCCACCGCCCCTCGCTCTTCCTGCCGCGGCTGGGCAGGATAAGGTTACGCCGGGCCTCCTCTGTCGCAGAGAAGAAGGCGGGCCGCTGGGGAGTTGCCACAGTTGGCAGTCCGGGCCCATGGGGGACGCTTCTCTGCAGACCGCCGGGAGCTGAGGGTGGGACCCAGAGCGCAACCGGAGACCCGGGTCCCCGCCATGGCCACAGCCAAGCCTCCCGGGCGTGGCTGTGGAGCCCTGCCCCGGTGGCTGCTCGGCGCTGCTCTGCTTCTGGGCCTGCGGCTCTGCATGGAGTTGCGCCTCGCGGGCTCGGGACTCCCGGGCCGCCGCGATCCCCCGGGGCCACCCCGGGCACACCTGCTGCCGGCGCCCGGCCCCCCTCGCGGAGCCAGAAGGAGGCAGGTGACCTACGTGCGCAGTGGGCGCAGAGCGCTGCCCCGGGGTGGCGGGAGCACGACGCCCCCAGAGCCGAGCTGCTGTGCCCAGCGCGGGCTTCCTCGCAGGAAGGTCAGTTGCAAATTGTGCAGGCATGGACCTTGGAGTTGAGCCTGCACCCAGATGGCGCTGGGGAGCCTTCTGCTCAGGCCGGTGGACTTCCCTAATGGAACCTCCAGACTCTTCTATTTCCTTCCAATTGAGCTCTCCCTGGAACTTTCTGTAGTCTCACTCAATGCCCCTATAGAATGAAGTGGAATCGAGCAGGTTCATCCAAATTCAACTAGTGTTTGCTGAGCGCCCACTGTGGCAGGCCTCCTTCTAGGAATGGAGTACCCAGCAACCACACCCATTTCAGAGAGGGAGGGGGCGCTGAAAGGGAAGGAGGCTTGGCTTGCCATTGTGCCTTTCCCACTCAGGCCTGGACGAAGCTGGATGGGTAGACACTGTTAATGGCTCATCCACCAGTCCAGGTGATGGCGAAGATCTGCCTTCCAGCAGCAACCCACCCCTCACCCCCACCAATCCCCGAGTCCCTACCCAGGGGTTGGAACTGGCACAGGGTGAGAAGCCAACCCCCCAGCACCACTTAGTGGGAAATAATTGGATCCTCCAGGACCAGAGCTGGGGTTGTCTTACATCACTGGCTAGGCTCTTCCTCGCCTCGTTAACTTCCTGCGTCACACTTCATTGAGTAGGTCAGTTTAAACCTGTTGATAAAGCCTCACCTTCCCACCTTCTCTTGGGACCTGGGAGTGAAAAGATTAGGAAGTGGATATGTGAGCTAGCCAGGGCCTTACACCCATCACTCCTGCTTCCAACTCAATGTCAATGCCATCTTCCAGAGCGAAGCTGCCTGGAGTCCGGTTTTTTTTTTTTTTTTTTTTTTTTTTTGGTGGTATCTGGCCACCCCTCCCATCCTGCCCGCGTGCTGCTCCCTGCATTTAGCACCCTACTCTTCCTTTGACTCCTCTACCGTCTCTCTAATTCCAATAAACCCCCTACTTTCAGTGCTTTTCTTCCCCCACTTCTACACGCCCCACACTGTCTTCCCACACAGCAGTTGCTTAACAGGCGAGTCTGTTATCTTCTAAACTCAGCTCTGTTTTCTGTCTGTGAAATGCACCTCCTATATAAAGACTTAGCTAGTTACTCTAAAAGAGCCATCTCCTTCTCACTCTGCCCATGCACTTCCCATGATGCTGTGCTAAGCATTCAAAACTCTTGCCTAGGGCTTACACTGGATACTGGGTCAAGTGCTGCCGGCACAAACTGAATTCAAAGTGGTTGGGGCTCAGGAAAGGCATACAATTTGATTCAGGCCTTGAACCTACAAAGAAAGATCAAAAACAGAACAACGGAGACATTTGAACGGAGACATGATATTTTTTTAAGAGTCTGGCTTCCTTTGTCCCTCTGTGGACACCCTTGAACATTCTGTCTTTGATAATCTTCCCTTTCAGAGTAATTCTCCACAACTTTTGTTTCTGCTGTCGCCTGTTCAAGGAGACCTAAGGTTTTGTCTCCAAAGTTATTGGTGAGCCTGCCTCACAGTGTTAAGTTTTGGAATACATAGACTCAGGGTCACTGGGGGTGTTTGTGGGGAGTTCACCTCTATCCCCCTGTAGGACGATAGAACAGAGATCAGTATGAAAACGGCAGGCAGGTGGTAGATATGGAGGTGGCAGGAAGTGGTGGACACTGGGTGTGTTTGAGAACTACATAGAGAAGCAACTATCTCTGTTTATCTCTGTTATCTGTTTATCTTTGGTAGATTATACAAAGAAGGTACTGACTCCAGATAACTTTCAAATATCTTCTAGTGATTCAGTTGGTAATGCCAAACAGACATCCAGACGTGTTGATCTGGGGCTTAGAGGCAGTGTCCAGGCTGAAGTAGCAATTTGGGGCCACTGCTCTCAAATGACACTAAAACTATGAGATAGTATGGGGTCAACTGGGAGTGAGTGTGGCTCATAGGACAGGAGTGGGAGTACCGAGGTTCAGTCTTTACAATTAAATTAAAAACAAAATGAAAGGAAAAATGTTTGCATAGTGGCCGGCACGTTATAAACTCAATGTAACAACTTTTATTTTCTCTAAGTTGTCTCAAGTGTTCAACCTTAGGGGTTCACAAGTATAAACTGTTACGGAGTATTTACGTTCCTTTGCCATATTGGCTCTTGCTCTGTGGACTCCATCCTGCATCTTGTCAATCTTCTGCCCCTTCCTACTTCAAACATTCAGGTCAAGGTTCACTGAGAACCTACTCCTACCTCCATGCGGCTCTCTCTGCCACCACAGATGGCAACGGACAGCAACGCCTTCTGTGAGTTTGAGTGGCTTTGTTCACGCGGAGACCTGAGAATCCATCTCAGATGGAATGTCTTGTCTGTACAAAGCATTCTCCCTCGGGAGGAATCATTTCCCACGGTAACTGTGGTAAATAAACTCCAGAGACACTAACATGGGAAGGATGGATACTGCTACATCTTGAGTTTCTCCTTGGTGATTCTAAGTGTCTTTGGCTAAACTATATAAAATGACTATTGTAAAAAAATATTGCTATTAGTCTTTCGTGGGAACATATGGGAACATTTTCCTTAGATTTTCTCCATAGTTATTTACTTATTTTATATGAGATTTTTAAAATTATAAATTTATAATAAAGTTATACATTTACAAATATATTTTATATAAAATACATAAAATTACAATTAGAAAATCATAAAATTTACTTACTTTATATTAAGCATTTTCATACTTACTATGTGAGAACATATATCTCATCTCACCAAGTTCCTAGGAAGGATTTTAGATTTGTTTCCCTTTGCCAGCTGAGTTAAAATATTCCTTAAAACTGGAAAGGCCAGTTTTTAATCTGTTTTCTGTCTTCTGGGAATGGAGTCTACCATCTTCCTGTGATAAACCTTGGTCCTTTTGAGCCTTACAAGACAAAGTATAACTCAAGGTGATGCACCATTAATAAACAAATAGAATTTGGAAGTTACCCATTACATTTTTATTTATTTTACTTTATTATTTTATTTTAATTGCTTGAGAACACTGATCAACAGTTTCACAAGCTTCTCAGTTCCTTTGCCCTGGCTGGCTTCCACATCGGTAAAGAAGAACACACTCCATTCTGTGGGCAGCTTTCTGGGTGATGGGAGTTGCCGTGGAATACTAACCTGGTTTGCAGAGTGTTTCTTGAGTGTTACCAAGCTTTTGTTGCAGGAGTGAGAGGCACAGACATTCAGCAATTATATTACCACCTTAATAAGAGGTTATGCTATTCTTAAAGGAAACAATCTGGACACACACACAGACACAGACACACACACATACACACACACACATGGGGGGGGGGACAGTCCTGTAATTTTCTCTCTCTTCCCACAGCCACCTTTGCCAGGCTCTATAGAGCTAGCTCTAAATATGAAGTCTTTCGTATAAAGAGCTCTAATCTTCGAGCACTGGGAGATTGGGATGGATGACAGATGGTAGGAAGCACTGCCTCTTCTGATTGTGACAGTCCTGGAGTCTATCCATTTCTGTACATTAGACTCTGAGCATCTCATCAGTGCTCATAGTCCATAAACTTTGCAGAGGATGTACGTGTTGAAACATCCCTGATGTCTGTCTTTATTCTCTGTTTCCTGCATGTGTCTGGAGTTTACTATTGTTTTCTTTCTTAAATAGGCATTTATGGTTCCTGTGGGTAAAGTTCTTTCGTGGGGGAGGCTTATTTACAGAAGGTTAGGTGTGTCTCTGTGGCATAGGCTTGAATGCACTCTTGGAGTGCATTTGGTACCTCTTATAGGTCGGCAGTTCACCTATAAGGAAACAGCTTTTTAACCTCTAGGCCTTACTTGTTCTGGAGATACTTAACTCAGGACCAGGCTGCCAAGAGAAATGTCTTTTCAGAGCTATGTCACTTGACATTTAATATCCTGGCAAGAAAAGTGACTGTGAGTCACTGAGCTACAGAACCCAGCAATGTGCTGCTGACTTGTCTGGTATGTTACAGATCCTTTGGAACAGTGTGCTGGCATGAGTGTCTGAGTGTGTGAGTGCATGGATGTATGTGTGTGTGTGCATACGTACATGTGCATGCATGTGTGTGTATGTGTGCAGGTGTGGGTGTGTGTCTGCATACATGCATGTGTGTGCATGGATATATGTGTACCAGTGTGTGCATGTGTTCGTGTGTTTGTGTCTGTGTGTGTATGCATGTGTATATATGCCTGCACACATGCATATGTGTACTTATGTGCATGTGTGCATGTGTGTGTACGTGTGTGTGTGCATGTGTGCCCATATACATACATGTGTGTGCACATGTGTGTGTTTGTCTGTGTACCTGCATAGATGAATGTGTGTGCATGGATGTGTATGCACCATCATGAGTGTGTGTGCGCATGTGTTTTTGTCTGTGTGTGCATGCATATATATATGTGCCTGCATACATGCATGTGTGTATTTATGTGCATGTGTGTGTGTGTGTGAATCTCTCTCTCTCTCTCTCTCTCTCTCTCTCTCTCTCTCTCTCTCTCTGTGTGTGTGTGTGTGTGTGTGTGTGTGTGTGTGTGTGTAGGGGAAACTGTTTCCTCTTCTGGAAAACCAAATGGCAAATGTGTCTGGCTTCTTGTCCTTGTCTTCTTAGTTTTCTAACTCTGTAGTTGTCATTGAGAAGATGGGGAACTGGCATGCGTGCCCTCCAGGTCTACCCAATTGCCTTAAGACCCCTTATTGTTTTCAGACTCCTTGCAGGTAGGTTGTGTCCTCTGTGATGCAGAGAGAAGACATAGTCCTATGATTCGCTTCCTCGTCCCCGTCGCCAGGCTCTGTAGAACTAGCTCTAAGTATGATGTCCCCTTGCACATCAAGAGTTCTAAGCTTTGAGCACTGGGAGGTGAGGACGGATGCCAGATGGTGGGTAAGCACTGCCTCTTCTGATTGTGACAATCTTGGAACTCAGCGGTCGTGTCCAGCCCCTCCGGTGTGCACATGTACCCGTACTTCTGACGCACAGGGAGCAGCGTGAGTCAGCGCTCTCCCACTTCCCACAG